GTGGCAAAAGATATGTCAATAAAATGCGCTTCAAGATCTCATTTAGTTCCTTTTATTTTCAGCTGGCAATGGCAAAAATTATGGAACAAGGTCCAGTATTGGTACTCACATTTACTGCACAACAAATWATGGTGCTACGGGATGCCACTGGCAATGTAATTGAGGGAGGAGAGGTAAGGGAAGATTATTGCTTCAAAGCATTGGAAAATATATTTGACTGTTTACAAATTTTTTGTGAAAGAGGAACATATGATTCTAGGTGGAATGTGGGGGACTGATGAGGAGTTTTTTGGAGCTTTTAAGTTAAACTTTGTTAAATCTTTGTGATTGTTTGATTAGATCATTGCTTTGGCACAGATGATTCAACCTAAAAACAAAAAACAAAAAGAAAAGAAAATGGACAAAAATTACAAAATTATGTTTTATTTTCATTTGCAGGATAATATTGAAAATGTTAGCTATGTGTGGGCGTTATGTCGTGACCAAAGTATCTTAGAACACAGAATGGCATGGAGAGTACTAGAATTTGGTATCCAAAACAGCACTGCTTGGGTCTAAACTACCAGCTGAACTTTTAAAATTGACAAAAAACATTATAAAAATAATGGCTTAAATAAAATATTTTATGATTTGGAATACTTGAAATATTCTATAAGTGTAACATTACTAAAGGCATGGGATCAAATTAGACCCCATCCAACCCTCCCTGTCCCTTCCCCTCCCCACCCTCACAACCCTCCCCAGGAACTCACATGGATGAGTATTAAACACCGCTTACTAGTAGCAAAAGAGCGTGCGATAACCAAAGGTCCGAATCGAAGAAGATTACACGCTGTGCTTTCTGCAAAATGGGTCTTCTTGGCCRCTTAACAAGCTATTTAGTTGTCTTTGTATTTTGTGCGAGTGGAGTCGTGAAGCTTACTGACCGCGTTCWTCCACAAACACACCAATGGATGGTAAGATCAGAATTCTTGCTAAATCCTTTCGTCATTAAGCGTCATTAGTGTTCAGCTTGCTAGGCAAAGAAAACAATGAAAYCTAAGGCTAGTATTTAGCACGTCTATTATCGTAATTGTGAGCTATTTTTYCGGGAACAGGAATATGCGACTACAGAAATAAAATAATTTATGTTAAACAAAATTGTAGCTGTATGATAAAGCAAAACAAAGTACTGTAATTTCGGTGCGCAAAGCAAAAGGCAATTGCCTTGGAATATGTTTGGTTCTTTGGTGTGTCGATTTACAAAAAGAAAGAGCTAGTGATTTCAGTTTTGCTTGAATTTCATATTTGTGAAATTGTGTGATTAATTCAAAAGGTTGCAGTGGTATTGAACTCATGTATAAACATCACTCTATCAGGCTCGCTCAATTAGGGAAGCCAATTAATTGCCACTCGCTGTTCATTTCCAAATCGTGCAGCTTTTTGCCTTAAATGATATGCTAATGTTTTGTGAAAAGAAATACCTGGTGAACTAGCAGTCGTCATGAGTTTTAACTAGTGAGATCGAATTTCAGTTCATTGAAAATGGTCATGCGATAATGATGCACGCTTCCTCGGACATTTACCACGAGTTTTTATAATTGGTTTTGTTTGTTTGTTATTTTTTTCAGAAAAAAGAGTTTGTACGTTATGCTAAAGTTCATCCATTCACAGTATATTTTGATTATCACGTGGAACCTGTGCTTTACATGAAGGTACCTTTATTGATAGATCAGAATTGCAGGTCCAGACGGGCGATTGGGAAAACCACAGGGGGCCCAGACAATCACAATGTGCGCCTATTTTGCCTGAACAAGCGTTGATGCGTGGAAATGTTACATATGTAGCAATTCCTTTC